CATTTTCCGAAGCTGTCCGATGCCATCATCTTGATCATTCCGGAACTGGCGCAAGGGTCGACGCTTGTTGTTAGAGCGACTGCATATGCAGGGCTTTCTTGAGAAAGGGTCCAGGTATCTCGACTCAGGCAAGTTTGAGGCAGCGAGGGTGTGCAAGTGACTCCGTGTGGGCCCATTTTGTAGTGTCCGCATGAGTGCAGGAGGCTTCCCTAGAAGTGTAACTTGTTGGGTTTTTCGAAGGTTGGAAGGCGTGTAGTTCTGAGGCTGCAAGGCCAATGATTGCAAACATGCCTGTCAGACTTGCATTCATCCATGTCGTAGCATTTCATGCTGAAAGTACAACTTCTTTCGAACTGCTCCTGTTATTAGGATGTTGTTCGACGCCCGTAGCGGCGCTTGCATTCCGCTGCAACAGCCCTGGTACACCAGGGCCTGTGTGTGTGTGCACACCTGAACATGGTGAATCAAGCATTTCATTTCAGTAGTCTGCCGGGGTTTGCGCTGGTTAGGGGGTTTCAGGGTTTATTCATTCTTTCACACCGGGCACTGGCCTCTTGGCACCGGCCCGTTACTCTTGGGCACTGGCCTCACGGCAACGGCCCACTGCACCTGGGCACTGGCCTTGTGGCACCGGCCCATTCTTTGCATCCATTTCGGTTTCCCTGCGAGGAAACGAGCACATCGCATTACAATGCCAAAGCCCCATTAGGGGGCACCTTGCAATATTCATTACATTTCCGCAACAGTTCGCCTGCTAAAGCCCTGGCATACCAGGGCCTGTGTGTGTGTGTGTGTACACACCTGAACATGGTGAGTGAGTGATCTTTTTCAATGAAGCGCAGGGGTGAGTGAGCCCATTTCCAAGCAGTGCATCGTCGCCGACACATGTAGAGTGCAGGGGGGCATGGCCTTTACTCACTACCATGCCCAACGAAACTGTGTGAGTAAAGGGGAGATGCCTGAGGATGCTCAGGCATGTACCTGCGCCTGAGGACGGCACCCAATCCTCAACGGGGACTGGACCCTACTATCCCCAACTCGGTGCCGAGGACAGAAACCTTATCCTCACTACTGAGCACCAGGGGCCGGACCCTTTATCCCACCTTGCCGGGGACAGGACCCGACGACGATGACAAAGAAGACGACGACCCAGTCTTCTTCGCATCAGTTCTCGCCAAGCCTAAGTGTGTGTATGTTACGTATGTTATCTATGTATGTAGGCATGCATGTATGTATGTATGTATGTATGTATGCACGTATGTATGGTTTTATTCACATGTGCGTGTATGTGTTTGTGTATATGTAGATGGGTATGCCTAAGTATATGTACATGTTTGTTTGTATGTACATGTGTACGCATGTGCATATGTACATAAGTGCGTGTGTATGTATATACATATGTATGCAGGCTTGCATGTGCGTCCCCCACGGCCACGAGAACTACAGTACCGCGAGCAGCGATAACCAATCCTCCTACGTGTGTGTTTCGGGTGCATGATCCAGGCTTAGAATGGGGTGTTGAGGTTCCGAGACGAGAGCAGCCAATTGCGTTTTTATTTTTCAATTTCAAGGGGTTTTTATGCAGATACTGGAGAGATGATCGCCTGAATAATGAAATTGAATTCTGTTCGAATACCCGAAGCTCACTGATATGGGCCTTGATGATTCCTACTTCCAAACAGCAGTATCCCAGGCCTAAGACTAACCTGGCCGTTACCTTTTCTGCAGTGGCCCCAATGGTGACCCTGACATTAGCCCTGACGATGGCCTTTGGATCGACATGTGCCTTTATAAGACTCAAAAGCAGGAGTAGCAATGATGCTGATCAGAATTTCTTCTTAGTTGCATTGCCCGCTGTGTTCGTCATGATAGGCAGCCTAATTTTGGGCTGGAGAATCAATTGTTCCTGAGGAAAAGATGGTCTTGGGCCGGAAATAGGGAGAACTAGAAGCACAATCCTTGGAGTTTGGCCGCCTAGTTTCTCAGTATTTTTCTGGTGCGTGTTTGCCAGGAAAAAGATGGTTTTGGGCAGTAAAACAAAGACTTTCCTAGGACAACACTGAATTTGGGCTGGACAACCATCTCCTAACATGCAAAAATGGCTTCAGGTCGAACAAAAGTAATCTTTTGGGAGCTTGTCTGTCTACTTTACCAAAGATGTTTGTTTTTGTTGCTTTTGTTTTCCCCAGGCCTGGGCAATGTCGATTTTGGATTGAAAAAAGCACTGTTGCCATTGAGTGCCAGCTCACGTCGAAACTGAGCGAGTCGGCGCGTTTTATATCATTGCTCCCTGAAGGGTGCTTGTGGTTTTGCCGGTCCTTGACAGATACGGAATCCGGACCTGCCGGAATAGCTGGTTGACACGGTATGTACCATACAAAGCGAGGATCGGTAGTTCACCATACAAAAAATGTACATATATATATATATATATCTATATTTATGTGCTACTCTGTATTTTTATGTTTAGATTTTGGGGTATGCGATAGGTAGCTAGCTGGCTAGCTGGATGGATAGAAAGAAACCTTGAATACTCATGCACATTAATCTATCTCTCTCAGTCTCTGCCTGTTTGACTCTAGAATTGATTGAATGAATGAATGGATGAAAAAATATAGTGAAATGAAATGTTACGAAATCAACGAATGAATGAGTGAATGGACGAATGGAATGAACGAATGGAATAGATGAGTGAATGCATGACTGACTGACTGGCTGGCTGGCTGGCTGGCTGGCTGGCTGAATGAATGAATGAATGAATGAATGAATGAATGGATCGATGGATTAATGGATGAATGGATGAATACATGAATGCATGAATGGATGAATGGATAAATGGATGAAGGCATGAATGCATGAATGATTGAATGAACGAATGAATGGAGGAATGGATAAACAGTGAATGGAACGAATGGAAGGAATGGAAGGAATGGAAGGAATGGGAGGAATGGAATCAATGAAGGAATGAAGGAACGAAAGGAATACAATGAGACTGAATGAAATTGAATTGAATGAATGCATGCATGCATGGATGGAAGGAATGAATGATGAATAAATGGGTGGATGGATGGATGGATGGATAAAAATAATGAATGCATGAACGAATGAATTATTGATAAATTGTACTGGAAGGGGATGGGACGGAACGGAACGGAATGGAATTGGAGGAAGAAACAAAGAATGAACTAGCTTATGTCTGCGTGTAGGTAGGCAGGCATGCATAGAAGCTATGTGCATACATGAAGATACGTGTCTACGCAGGTTGCATGCCTGGATTGGTTGGTAGATAGGTTGATACTGGATGCAACGGCAGAGAGAGAGAGAGAGAGAGAGAGATAGGTTGATATAGATACATAGATCGATGGACACATGGATAAGCAGATAGATAGACAGATAGATAGATAGATAGATAGAGAGAGAGAGAGAGAGAGAGAGAGAGATAGAGATAGATAGATAGAGAGATAGAGAGATAGATAGACCGACAGATAGATAGAGAGATAGATAGATAGACAGATAGATAGATAGGTAGGTGGATAGACAGGTAAATGGATAAACGTCATAAACGTGCATGCAAATTTGACTGAAATGTTTGTTTGTTTTTGTTTGTTTTTCTTTGGCATGCTTGTGTGCCCACGTTCCTGTGTTCCTGTGCATGTGGACTTCTTTATGAGGCAAGAGTGCTTGTCTGTCGGGAATGTACTCGAAGGACGGTCCGGTGTGCTTGCTGGTACATTATGCCTGCAGGAAGCCATGCGCGGCCTCGGCCTGTTTGCGCTCCTGCCTTGCGCTGCCGCTCTCAGCTTCAATGAGACGGCCGCACAGGCCCGTGGGGCAGGGACCCAGGAATTCCATGTCAGGGCTTCGCTCCCAGGACTGTTCGCTTGACTTGCTCGTGTCTGGCTGCTAGCCGCTTCGGCTGAGTGGCTTTCTGACATAGAGGCACAGCGTCAGCACACATCCAGAGGTCGGTTTCGGACAGTTGGGACGATGTGCAACTGGTTTTTAGATAAATACTTTGTATCAGCCAACACATTCTTGACCAAGACAACAGGCTACCTTTCAAACGTGTCTCTCGCTAGCATGTTCCAGCGCTGATACGCCAAATGGAGGGGCTCTTCACAGACCCCAATTGCACCCAAAGCCTGCCCTGGGCCACTTGGCTCTCTGGGCTTGACGAGCTCACCCTGGGCGCCGCTGCTGCTGAGCCAGGACTGCCTGAGGCAGGAAGGGTTGAGGTGCCGTTGTTAGGTCTCGCATGTGCGTGGCCGCGTGGCAGCCCAGAGGCGCAGAATGCGCAGCGCGCGGAGGCTGGTGGCACCTTTTGTCGTGTCAGCTGTGTCCTTGTGCTGCCGAACCCGCGTGCGCAATGCAGGAGGCAGCAGCAGCTCTTGGTCTTTCTCCGGATCCCAGCTGCTTCCTCGGCGCTGCTACTCTGCTTCTGGCACAGGTGCACGTCATTTGCACTTGGGGTCTGTTCGAGCTGTCTGTATCGCTTCTGTTCGTGCCCCGTTGAAGCTCGCCAGCCGCACGTACCAGAAAAGCGGGTAGATACTCGCAATTCCAGCACTGGCTCATGCGTTAAGGATGATGCTAGCTGGACCCCGCATTTCTATTGCATTGTGCAAGTTTGGTTTCCGTTACTCCCCAGAGCCTTGCCTGTTACTCCCCGCACCTGTGGCATTACCCTTCAACTTGCAAATGTGTAAGTGTGGTAACAACATGTGTACACCTTCCAAAGAATGAAACCATGCACAGATGAAGTGTACGGATATCTGTGGTCTTGGCTTGTCAAGCAAGCTCACCAACTGAAGCCGCAACCTCCTGTCGATGTGCAGGAGTATGAAACGGAAGCACGAATTCGTTGCTTTTGCCTGGAGTGTCCGAGTGTGAGTTGTCAGCTGGAAACCATCTGCGTGTGGGTTTCTCACTGGTGTGTTCGGCATCAGCGCCTGCGTGCACTGGTGCGGTTCGGTCGGGGGATTTGCTGACATCTTGCACTGCGAATCTTGGAGTGTTGAACTTTCCAAGAAGCCCGCTGCCTGCTGCAACTATCTGCCAGTCTTCTCTTCTCTTGCGTGTCTGCTACATCCCTCAAAGCGGCGGAGCATGTCCGCCCGCAGGTGGCAGGCTCCTGGCGCCGTGGACGTTTCGTGGCGGCACTGCACACCTTCGTCCGCTTCTCAGAGTTTCCACAGTATTCGAAGCACCCATTAGAATTGAGTGTGTGAGAAGGCAAGAAAAATAAGAAATGCTGCCGGGCACCCTCCATGGCTGGAGGCCTTGCTGCATGACCACTTCCTGACAGCAGCGCACCCTGGCTTCTTCGTGCACAGTGCTTGGCCAGCTGGAGATCAGGACCGAATCGACCCCAGGTGCATCCAGTGACAAAAAACAGTGTACCCGCTTTGCAGTGCTTTTCAATGCTTTGCAGGATGTGCGCTACTGGAAGGACCGACTGCTCTACCAGATTCGGCGCTTTCGCGAGCTGGTTGGTCGATCCCTTCATCTGGGGGCTGCAGCTTTCACCGAAGACTCCATCCCCGATGACGTGGAGCGAGATGCTCGACTCGGCACTCAGAATAGAATTCACGAAGGCTAGCTCCTTCTGAGCTTCTTGAGTACGGATTTGATTTGGGTCAAACGAGACTGCAAGGGGGCCCAGCTGACACACCACACTCCCACCCACCTTGTTCCAAGAGAACGAATAATTAGAGGGGGGCCCTTAAGCCTCCCACCCTCTAGGGGTCAATACAACAGCGCAGAGCCGCCATCATTCCGCAACATAGCCGCAGAGCACATCTGCACAACTGAGATTGCCTTAGACCCCGTTCACCGCGCAGCCTTCTGTTTCGACTCGTCAACAAGCAGCAACATCGACCGAGTTTCGAAGAGGGTGAGGGTAAACAATCACGTCAATGTTGTTATTGGTTCTTGTATTGAGGAACGAGCTTTGCCATGCGTCGTTCAGCGCAGGCTTAAGCGGCCTGGTTTTTTGGACCAGTTCGCAACACAGCATACAAGGAGTACTGCATCAGCCACATTCCCTCACCAGCATCTGCTTGCAACTCACATCTGCCATTTCCCTCCCCGTAGCTTTCGTCCGCTCTGCTCTCAAGTGTTCCTGCAGTGACCAGAGCGTGTCGTGGACTGTGCTGCGCTGCAGTTGAGGAGAATCTGGGAGGCTTTGCCTCACATGCACTCCAGCAGCAGGATGGGCGACGGCAGGGGAGGAACTGGTCGGATTCAACGTTGTGGCGGCCTGTGTGGGAGTTGGCCCCATCCGCTGCATTGATCCCATTCAAGGATGTGGTGCCACCGGTTCGCGTTTATGTGTATGGAGAAGGGGATGCAGCGATTGGGAAGCTAACTCGCTCGCCTGCTTTCTGCCACTATCGCCAGTGGGGCATGGACGTTGGCTTCCATGACTTCTTCAGGACATCTCCCATACGCACCTTTGACCCAGAGATGGCCGACTTTTTCTTCGTTCCGAGTTATGCCTGCTGCCATCAGGTAGCGGGAATCTCAGATTTCGATGAGCTGGATGCCGATCATAAGGCTCTGGTTTCGCAGCTGACTTACTTCGAGCGCAGCAGGGGGCGAGATCACATTTTCTCCTTTCACTACATCGACCTGTTTCCTTCGTGGAGGAAGCACATACCGTACAGTGTGATCCTTACTCCAGAGACAGAGGTTGGTTTCGAGCGATCTCTTGACGACTTCGGTCCGGACCATGGCCGTTTTCCACCTTTCAACCCTCTGAAAGACATTGTTGTCCCGCCGTTCATCAACATGAAAGACATCCTTGGCTTCGAGACGCACGCGAAGCCAATGAGAGAGCGGGAGTATGTCGCGACCTTTGCGGGCAAGCTGTGGTCTGACATCGTGGAGGCCGCCGACGTTCGAGGAAAGGTTGTGGCTCTGTCTTCTGCCCCGGGCTTCAAGATCCACGCGTTCGCATCCATCAGGGACATGCTGAATCCGGATGGCATGCAGAGGTGAGCGCAATGACAAGCACAAGCCATGCAGGTCGAATTTGTCATGTGCGCCAGCATCAGTTAGGGGTAATTTGCCACAGGCTCATGGGAAACTCGGTGTTCTGTCTGGTACCACGCGGGCGGGCAGCCTGGTCAGTTCGCTTCTTCGAGGCAGGGGCCTCCCCTGTTCACCTGGGACTGCCCGTTGCGCTAGATTTTTCTGCAAGCGAGGCGCTCTGGGCTGGTTGTGTTCCGGTGCTCCTGTCGGACTGCCTCAGACTGCGTCGGATTTTCCTTGGTTTGCTGCTCGACTGGGTTTGACTCGCACTTATTGAAGTCAGGACCACTATCAGCCTTCCTTCGATCAGCTTTTTGATGTGACGAGGTGCAAGTCGGGATAGCATGTGTAAGAAAGACGGGCCACGGAGGTCCACTGTGGACCACGGAAGAAGCCACCATGTCTCATAGCAACCTCTTGCCATCAAAGATGCATGCAGCAACGAAGAGCTCCTGGTTCAGGTTTGTCATAAAGTGGCCTGTGTCGAGAATTGATGACTCCCTGGTCTCCTACCTTCACTCGCTGCCTTTGGACTGAGCTGGGTAGTTGTTGCATGCAGTGTACTCAAACGGTAGTCATGAGTTTCGACTGGGAGTCCAGCATTCAGAAACCTTTACCGCAGCGTTCCTGAATGCGCAGGAGGTGGCCGAGCGCTATGCGGAGGAGGGTCGGCGCGTTCGATGTGTCTCGGCTGGACTTCCACCGTGCCCTGCTTGTGCTTGGAACGGAAGTTCTCCAGGCTGGTACCTGTATCCGCCGCCTGAAGTATCCTGGATTGGTGATTGGCCTTCTCGGAGCCTGGGATCATGCCGGCCGCAGTTTGCTTTCCCGGCGGCTGTCTGCTGCCCCGCAGCCTAAGGAATGAGCTCGAAGAGGTCGAGAAAAGGGTGTGTCCCAACTTGTCTTCCTCACGCAATGCGTTTCAGGCCCGGTGTGCCGTGGCATAGGCCCATAGGCACAGTCCTGTTCCGGGGCTTGGCACTTGCAAGCTCCTCGTGGAGGCTGTCGTTGAGATTCTGCGGCGCCGTGCAGTGAAAACTCGGCTACGACCGGTTCCTCGGCTGACTTCGGATAGGCTGAGCGTTAACTGCCGTGTTCCGTGTGGAGGACGGGTTCTATGCGGCGGACCCCAAGCAAGGATACCAGCCGGTGCCCATGGACGATCGATTGAGACCCATCAGCTGAGAATTTCCTTTCCGTCCATCGGCCATACAAGACAATCCTGCTAGTAGGCAGGTGCAGGGATCCGGTGCTACACTTCCGGAAGATCAACCATTGAGCCGGGCACGACGTGGGAGCACTCGGCATACATACCTGCGGCGGCTGACCCTCTCATCACTTGAAGACGAACAACCACGCAATTGCATGCGTGCACGTGGGCGAGGGGCTCCTGGCATTGGTGCGGGCGCATTCCGGCAGGTCTGGCGAAGGGCCCCCGCTCTCGGCATCCTGTCTGCATCTGCTGGCAGACACGGCGGGAGGAAAGAAAGGAGCTTTTGCGGAGATGTGCCCTGCGCCTGTTCTTTGAGCACTGGGTGTCTCGTGAGTCAGTGCGATGTCAGCAGGCACGGCCTGTCAGCAAAGTCGTGGGCCTCCTGCAAGGTATGAAGGAGACTGTCGGCAAGAGCTTGTCGTGCCGTGCATATTCATGCGCCTAGGGTTGAGGTCGGTCTTGTCATGTTAGAGTTACATGTCATCGTCTTTGTGAATGAGCGCCCTCGTAAACCAGTACTCCGTTTCAGTCTTGTCAGTTGCATCCGGTATTTGAGTGTTTCCCTCGCACCTGACTGACATGTGGGCGGTATACGAACAACTCTTGAAATGGGTCCTGGGCATGCATCCTGCATGCTTCGGAATTGAACCCAAGGGGCACTTCTCAGGGCGCTCCGCTTGGATCCAGCATATCTAGCCACATGTACATCCATACATACATATGCGTGTACATGTATGTATGTGTGTATGTATATATATATATGTACATAATGTATGTACGTATGTACGTACGGACGTATGTATGT